GCTCCTGGGAGACACCGACCAGAGCACATGGCTGCAGCGAAGAGGGTGTTGCGCTACTTGTGCAGCACGTCGGGCATGGGGCTAGTGCTTGGAGGGCGCAGTCCAGTGGTCCTCACTGGGCACGCGGACGCTTCTTGGGCTGACGACCAGGCTACGCTGCGGTCGTCACAGGGTTACACCTTCAGCCTTGGTTCCGGCTCTGTTTCGTGGCGGGCTACCCGCTCGTCTTCTGTTCTCGGCTCTAGTTGTGAGGCTGAGATCTACGCGGGGGCTATGGCTGCCCAGGAGCTTCGCTGGCTCACCTACCTGCTGACCGACCTTGGAGAGCCGCCGCGTTCTCCTCCAGTCCTGTTCGTAGACAACAAGGCCATGCTGGCCTTGTGTTGAGAGCAGCGACTGGAGCACAGGACAAAGCACATTGCTCTCCGCTACTTTCTTGCTCGTGAGCTGCAGCAGCATGGACAGTTGCGACTTGCGTACGTGGCCTCTGAGGCCAACACTGCTGATGTCTTCACCAAGGCACTTGCGCCTTGTGTTCATCAGCGTTGCTGCACGCAGCTGGGTCTTGTGCCTGTCTTGCCTCACTTGCTCACTTCTTGACCTTGCTTGTACCTTCACCTATATATACTCTTGCCCTTGCTTGCTTGACTGTTGTATATCTCTGTATATGATCTTGCATATGAACTGGCCTTCTGGCCTTTGAACTTGTGCTCGGAATGTGTGGTGACTTTGTGATCCACCCTGAGCTTTGCTTTGCTTTGCTTGACTGGTCTTGTGACCCCTTGTTCTCCCCCACTTTGCCTATGGGGGTGTGTCAGAACATTATAGCTTACTTATTTGTGTAGGCTATAGTGGGGTATCTCATAGGGGGTACAACCCAATTAAGGTTTCCTATTTGTACTCACTTCGTTCATAGTCATTTCATTCTCATTCACTTCTTCTCACTAGGCACAGTTCCCACGAGGGAACCTGCTCTGATACCATGAGGAAATTAGAACGAGAATGAGAATGACTAAGTGAAAGTTGAGTACAAATACAAACCCTAGAAAACTGTACCCCATATGTGCTACCCTACTATAGCCTACAATAGCTATGTCATATATATCTGACATCCCTCCCGGGAAGCTGCTCTCGCGTACTGCATCAGCGCATATGTGGACTCCGCCAATTGTACTGCTGCAAGGAATGACGTCGAACGGCCCCTGCGAACCTCGTACTGTATCTCGTATTTGAGGCCGCGGATGTATTTATCCCGCTGTTCAGCTTCCGACATGTCATCGACTTGGTCGGCGAGGCTCATAAATGACGCCGTGTAGTCTTGGACAGAAGCCATCTGCGACCATGCACGCAGCTTCATGCGAGCTTGCTCCGAGGCGGATACGTGCTCGAAGCGACCTCGTAAGGCTGCGCCCCACTCCTTCCACGTGCGTATCGTGGTCACTCCGAAGATCGATGTTGCCACTTGATTAGTCACTGTTGAGGTCCCGTCTGCCGCATGTGTCACACCTGTCGGCGTCCCTGTTTCCAAGGTTCGGCGCCACCACTCAAGCGCTGCACCTCGAAGAAGCGAAACTGCATAATTAATGCGCATGGCATCGTCATTAACTCCGGTTGCAGTAAAAAAGACTTCGACTCCGAACAACCACCCTTTTACCGTAACCGTCTTGTCCGTAGGATTAAACGGGGGTGGGTTGACGGGCTTGATCTTGATCGTTGTCACTGCAACTGGTGCTGCTGCCGCTCGTTGCCTATCCTCCTCTTCGAAGTCACGTGTGAGCGCATCCAGTGGATTGCTCATCGCCCGACTGTTGCCCTCGCCTTCGTCCACAGGCTACTCCTGACACGCTTCACCTCACGTTTGGCTTAGCTCGGCGTTTTCCTCTCGCAGCGTTGTCACTTCCGCCATTAACGTCTTCATGCTCTCCTGCATTTCTGCCACTTGCGCCATCATCTTGTTGACCGCCTCCTGATCCATATGCCTAACGCTACGTCTGGTGGGCAATCGGGTCTCCGTGGCCTTCAGGCAAATGAAAACACGAGCTATCGGAGTCGTGGAGGATTGAATTAACAATCCATGCAGCCAACCGTCGTGTAGTCACTAAACCAGCCACACCCTATGCCACCAAACTACCCTCGGAAAAGCGGGGTGAACCAGGAAAATAGCTCTGATACCAGGTGTTATGAGTTGTAAAAGAGAGTGCGCAGGTAAACGAATAACGAGGCTGTGACTAAATCAACTGCGAATACAATGGAAGCACTAACTAATGTAGGACTACTCTAGCTAGGAGGAAACCTAGGTCGAGCGAGGTTGGGTGCAGGTTTGGCGATGGAAACGCCGAAGGCGACGCGAGGAGCCTCGGCAGCGTTGAAATCGGCCGAACGTGCGAACTCCGAAAATCGGGTTGTACGCGAAGCAGTCAACCCCGATAAGGAATTCGGGAAAATTCCTAGACTCTTTGTGGGTCCGAGTCAAGGGTGGCGTGTGTTTCGTAGCCCAGGTGTGGGTGGAAGTCAGCCACACCTCCGCTGACGCTTTGCTGCTCATGGCTAGCAAGGGACACACCACACCACACCACGTTACCACCGACCAATCACAACGTGGTGGAACCTCGATCAGAATTGCGAACCTGTTCCCGAAAGTAACATCTTCCCCTTCCCCTCGTTACAGTCAACAGCTCATGAGGACCATCTCTGGGATTACCGATGGCGCAATCTCTTGCAAGCGAAACGCGTTCCTATTCTGCCACCCAGCCTGCCCGTACCGCTTTGTGTGAACTGTCTGATCAGCCGCGAGACCTTGCTGAAGGTGTGACCGCAGCAAACTCCGAGCCTCCACTACAGCCTCACCAAGCCGCTTTTCCACCCTCGTGGGATGACTGCTTGCGCAAACCTGTCACCTCAGGGCTCAAAACAAGCAGTTCGACAAAGTCTGCTGCGCGTCCTAAGTTCCGAGCCAAGATGGTTACCATTTCCCTAAACCTTTGCCCTGCGTCCCGAGCAGCCCGCATTCCGTGTCGCCCCAACGGTTTGGAGGAACTGTGGCGTAACCATGGATGCCCGTGCGGGCAGCCCAACGAAAAGCAGCAGGCAGTGTGTGCGGGTGTGGCCCAGCTTGACTCTGCCTGCCTGCCCCAGTAAAAAACTCGTGTCATGGAGCCCATGAAACCCCGCAATCCGCCAAACGCGCATAGACCAGTGGTGGAACAGCAGCAGTTGGTCAGAAACACGGACGGATGGACCGGATGAAACAGGCTCGAGCCCATGGTCTGCGGAGCTCGTGTTTTAATCTGATGTCCTTTTGCCTGGGGTGGCGGCTGGTTCTAGACTTCAGGTTAGGCCCTAGAACCAGCTTTACTGGATTGCAGTATAAGCGATGCGATAGGCTGAAGAAGGCTCCGTCAGCTAGTGAATGACGTGGAACGATAGCAAGTGGGTTTGCTTCCTCCCTCACCAGCTGCTGCAATTAGTAAGAACTGGTGACGTCACAGCCTTAGGGTTACAGACAGCAGCGTCCAGTCAGGGATGTGACGATCTAGTGAATTACTAGTTAGATACCACGAGGTTTCTCTGGACTTAGTTCCATGGTTCAAGTCGTAGATGCTGACGAATACATGTGTCGATAGCACCTGTTTTTGTTGGTCAACTGAGAGACTCATGGGATGATAAGTTAGGGTTACGAGCATTTCAATGACAAAACTTCCAGCCATGACTTCTGACTATCTAAGAAGGAAATTCATTTTAGCACTATTGTTCCACGAGAGACGTCCGAAGACATTCGTACTTAGTTCATTTCTTATTCTTCTATTACTGCCCACCCTCTTACCGGGCGGAGAATCATTCTCCTTCCACATCTCGCACCATACTCGTCGATCGACCTCTGTAAAATACGTCCGAGCCTCGTCCCGAGCCTCGTCCCAATCTTCGACACGACCGTTGCAATCCTCCTGGGCGGAGTGGCCGCGACACGACAATGACACCAGATGGCCTCCGCCGGTCGTATCCGTTTTGCATTTCTCAGGCGCCGTTGCTCTCGAGTCCAATTTAACGGATCAGATGTCGCCACGTGGACTGTCAGAGATGCAGTCGCGGCTTCATGGAAGCATCCGCACGGACGGGTGCGTTCTTATCGGATGTCACACTGCGATACGCCTGAATTCTATTAGAGTACTTGCAGAGTGAGAATGCTTTAGGATGCAGTTAATCGTGGGTTTGCTCGATGATTTCCTTCTCTTATGCGAAACCCTACCGTTGCAACACCGTTGCTTTCATTCTCCTTCGGTTGCTTCATTTATCTCACCAGCACCTGTGTCTCTCTCGTTACATTCCCCTCCCTTGTATAGCACCTCCCTGCGTGATATTTTTCCTATCTGAAGTCTCTCCCCTTCTCCCCCCCATCACCCCACGTTCCCCCCCTCCTCCAACTCCTCCTCCTCCAAACCCCCCCTCCCTTCCACCGTGCTTCTAGCTTTTCCCCGCCCTCCCGATCTCTCCCCACTACCCGCTCCCCCCCCCCCCCCTCCCGCCTCCTTTCCCGTGCGCAGTTATTACTCCGTGGACGTGTGGTCCAGGTCACTTTTCTTACTCACCTCAAAAACCATTCCCCCTCCTCCGTCATCCCACCCCCCTCCTCCCCCCCACCCCTCCCCCTTTTCCGCGAGCAGCTATTACTCGGTAGACGTGTGGATCGGGTCGCCGCCGCGCAAGTTTTCGCTGATGGTGGATACCGGTAGCGCGCTCACCATCGTGCCCTGCTCCTCCTGCTCGCCGTGCGGCGCTCATATGGTAAGACGATCGGGTTATCACGTAACACATGCATCTCTAATTCTCTCTGATGGTGGACACGGGAAGCGCGCTCACCATCGTGCCCTGCTCCTCCTGCTCGCCGTGCGGCGCTCACATGGTACGGCGATCGATCGGGTTACCACGTAACATGTGCGTGTCGTCGTGTCTTTGTCTTGCAAGTTTTCTCTCATGGCGGAATCAGTGCAGCCATTGCACGGATGACCGGTGAGACATAATTCCAAGTGGTGACTTGCGCTGATTCTGTTTTCTGATTCCACTCCCCCCTCCCCCTATCCGCCGTCCGCCTTCTGCAGAACCCCCCCTATTCCCCCTCCGCCTCCTCCTCCTACCTCCCCGTGACCTGTCGCGGGGGGGCCTGCGCGGGGAACCGCTGCGACCGCCAGCAGCGCTGCGCGTACTCGCGGAGATACGCGGAGGAGAGCACCAGCGACGGCTTTCTCTCCTCCGACCTCGTCTCCTTCTCCCCCCCGCCTCCCCCTCCCGCGCCCGCCGCTTCCGCCGCCGTTGTTCCCAAGGAGGAGCGCGCTTCCGCACGCAAAGACTTTCGGCCTTCCGCTTCCTCCTCCTTTTCGTTTTTCTCCTGGTGGTGGTGGCCGTTTTCCCCTTCCCCTTCCGCCGTCGTTTCCACTTCTTCCGCCTCTTCCTCGTCGTCTTCCCCTTCCTCCTCCGCCCCCGCGGAAGCTTCCTCCGCTTCCCCCTCCACTTCCTCCTCGACTTCCGCGCAAGCCCAGTCTTCAGCCCCGGGCCCCGTTCCGCCCCTTCCGCGCGTCCTGTTCGGGTGCGCGGAGGCGGAAACGGGCGCGCTTTCCCGCCAAGCGGCGGACGGCGTGCTAGGGCTCGGGCGGGGGGCGTACAGCCTGCTGGCGCAACTAGTGAGCGCGCGCGCAGTCGCCGCGGAGGTCTTCTCCATCTGCTACGGCGGAGGGGGAGGCGCTGCGGAATCCGCGGAACTGGCAAAAGGCGCGGGGAACGGGGGGAGTGGCTGGGGATTGTGGCGGCGGAAGGGGGGGATGGGGAGTGGAGGAGGGAAAGTCGGGGGAGGGGCGAGAGAGCAGGGGGAAATGGGGAGGTTGGGGGGGGAGCGGGGGGCGATGATCATGGGGCCTGTGGGGCTGCGCGCGCCTGCGGTGATGCAATACACGGCGTTCGACCGCATGCGCGTGTGAGTAGCATTTAGCGTATGTGAGTGGTGATTAGTGCATGCGAGGGGGTGTTTTCTCCGGTTGAGCGGGTGCTTACGCATGTGAGGGGGTGATTTGCGCGCGCCTGCGATGATGCAGTACACGGGCTTCGACCGCGCATGTGAGGAGGCGCAGCTTGTGCGCATGTGAGGGGGTGTTTGCGCGCATTTGAGTGGGTGATTTGTGCGCATGTGAGTGGGTGTTTGCGCGCATTTGGGTGGGTGTTTGCGCGCATTTGGGTGGGTTGATTTGCACGCATGTGAGGGGGTGATTTGCGCGCATGTGAGGGGTTGATTTGCGCGCATGTGAGGGGGTGATTTGCGCGCATGTGAGGGGGTGATTTGCGCGCATGTGAGGGGGTGATTTGCGCGCATGTGAGGGGGTGATTTGCGCGCATGTGAGGGGGTGATTTGCGCGCATGTGAGGGGGTGATTTGCGCGCATGTGAGGGGGTGATTTGCGCGCATGTGAGGGGGTGATTTGCGCGCGCCTGCGGTGGTGCAGTACACGGGCTTCGACCGCGCATGTGAGGGGGTGATTTGTGTGCATGCGAATGGGTGTTTGCGCGCATTTGAGTGGGTGTTTGCGCGTTTGAGCGGGTGTTTTGTGCGTTTATGAGTGAATGCCTGCGGTGATGCAGTAGTGATGCAGTGCAGTACACGGGCTTCGACCGCATGCGCATGTGAGCGGCTTTTGGGACGTCTCAAAAGTCGTTTGTGAGTGAATGCCTGCGGTGATGCAGTAGTGATGCAATAGTGATGCAGTGCATTACACGTGCTTCGACCGCGCATGCGCTTGTGAGCGGGCGGGCGCAGTTGATTTGTGCTGTGCGCATGTGAGGTAACCTGCGCGAGCTAGTGGGTGATTTGCGCACCAGTCAATGGCGGTTTTGATCGCCTCCCCCTCCCTCTCCATTTCCCCGCTCCCACTCCCTCTCCCAGGGTCACGCCGCTCTATCAGGACAACCTCTCATCCCCCCTGTTCCCGCCCCCTTCCTCTCACACTTTCTCTCTCTCCCCCTCCCTCTCCCCCTCCTCTCCCTCTCCCTCTCCCTCTCCACCCCCAGCGGCACGCCCTTCTATCAGGTGGTGGTGAGTCAAATTCTTATCGGGGGAGAACCGCTCCCAGTGGAGGACGCCCCGCTGCTCTTCTCCTCGGGCTATGGCGTCGTCGTTGACAGCGGCACCTCCTTCTCCTACCTACCCGCGCCGCTCTTTGAGGCGTTCAAGCACAGCGTCATGGCGCGCGTGGCGAGGGGAGTCAAGATGCTGACGGACACAGAGCCGCAGTACCAGAGCATGTGCTTCCGGTCCACCTCCTGGACTTCTCTGTGAGTGCGGCCTCTGCTGCTGCTGCTTTGTGGGTAACTTCTCTTTTGCCACTAGTGGCCCATGGTCTAAAGATGCTGACGGACACAGAGCCGCAGTACCAGAGCATGTGCTTCCGGTCCACCACCTGGACTTCTCTGTGTGCGCACAGATGGGCTGTGTTTGAGTTCTGCTGCTGCTGCTCCTGCTGTCCGTTCTGCTGCTGCTGTTGTCCTAAGCTCCTGCTACCTCCCTCACCCCCCCTCTGCTGCCCCTTATGCATTGCACCACACGTACCCCTCGTCTCCCTGCAGGCAAGCCTCCACGCTGGCGTCCTTCTTCCCGTCAGTGGAGCTGGTATTTGGGGAAGGCGCCATCTACCGCCTGGACCCCGAGAACTTCCTCTTCCAGCACCGCAAGCGCAGCGGCGTGTTCTGCATCGGGGTGTTCCCCAACCCCGACCAGGGGACCATTCTTGGCGGTGAGTGGCTGCACTGGTACTACTCACACCTACCCACTCTTCCATTCCACCACCGCAAGCGCAGTGGCGTGCTCTGCATCGGGGTATTCCCCAACTCGGGCCAGGGCACCATCGTCGGCGGTGAGTGGCGTGACTTAGTTGCTTTGAGTGACTTGATCTCACACATGGGTTGCACCCTCCTCTTCCCGCACCGCAAGCGGAGATTCAGTGGGTCAATTTGTCAGTGCCTTGCCCATCCTCTCCCCTCTCTTTGCCCTCACCGACCCACCCGTCCAGGTCTCATGTTCCGTAACACCATGTTGACCTTTGACCGGGTCAACGATCGCCTGGGCTTCTGGAAGACCCCCTGCGACCAGCTCATGACCCACATTGTGTCGCCTGGCGCGCCTGGTTCGGAACCAGGTCCGGAGCCAGGTTTTGGTGCAGGTTCGGAATCTGGGTCTGGATTAGAGGAGGAATTAGGCTCGGATATACGGCCTGCAGCAAGGACAATGAATCCGTTAGGGAGGGGCAGGGATCCTCGGGACCCGTACACAGAGGAGCAGGCTCGGTCAGGCGGAGGTTCGGCAGCAGGCTTGGGTGCAGGCACAGGTGGACCCAAACCTGACGAGGGCACCCACCCAAGCAGCATGACCACACAGGATGCCACTACAAGGGGTGTGCCTGCAAGGGATGTGACTGTAAGAGGCGACAGCAGCAGCAGCAGTGCGAGCAGCAGAAGCAAGCGGGCGCCGGATGCAGGGCCAGCAGGCAGCGACGACGACATGGCGATGGTGTGGGCTGTGGCGGACGCCATGCCGTCGTACCGCCCGGTGGACTCCACGGGGTGTGCGGGGTGCGCCAGCCACGTGGACATGGAGCTGCGGTTTCCGTTGCTCTCGTCCGCACAGCTGGACGCGCTGGAGGGGCAGCTGACTGATGAGCTGATCCGAGAATTATTGCTGGAGCCGGGACAGGTGAGGGCACAGGGGGGCAAGGGCAGGTATGGGCAGGGGGGAGCAAGGGGTGGAAAGGAATGGGCTGGTGAAGGGCAGGTGAGATGGTGTGGGCTGTAGCGGATGCCATGCCGTCGTACCGCCCGGTGGACTCCACGGGGTGTGCGGGGTGCGCCAGCCACGTTGACATGGAGCTGCGGTTCCCCCTGCTCTCGTCCGGCTCAGGAACAAGCTGATCTGAGTGCTCATGTGCGAGCCAAACGTCCTCCTCCCCACCGACCCCCCAACAACCTCCTTCCACCCCCGGTTCTACCCCCCCCCTCGGTTCTGCCCCCGTCCCCACTCGAGCAGGTGGTGATTCAGAGTGTGTGGGGCACGAGTCCCAGCGGGGCAGCAGCAGAGGTGTGGCTGGTGCCGTATGCGGGCACCACCTTCCTGCCTGCCATCACCGTGCAGCGCGTCAACTCCACCATCAGCCAGCACGCCATGCACCTCTCGCCTGCGTTTGGGCCCTACAATCTCAGCTCATTCAACGCGCCGCCTCCGGACTTCTCTGGGTGGGTGTTGGGGTGATGTCAATGTGACGTGAACGTGGGTGCTTGCTGCTTCTCATGCCATTCGCCAGCACGCCATGCACCTCTCGCCTGCGTTTGGCCCTTACAACCTCAGCTCATTCAATGCGCCGCCTCCTGACTTCTCCGGGTGGGTGTCAATGTCAAGTGATGTGAAGGGGATGTCAAGGTGGGTGCTTCCTGCTTCTGGTCGTGCCATCCGCAATCCACCATCCGCCACCACGCATGCACCTCTCGCCCGCGTTCGGGCCCTACAACCTCAGCTCATTTAACGCGCTGCTGCCTGACTTCTCCGGGTGGGTGTCAGGGTGGGTGTCAGGGTGGGTGTCAGGGTGGGTGTCAGGGGGTGGATGTCTAGCTGATGTGAGGGTCATGTGAAGGGGTGCTTCCTGCTTTTCAATCCATCCCCCACGCTGCCATGCACCTGTCACCCGCGTTTGGGCCCTACAACCTCAGCTCATTCAACGCTTAGTGGGAATATACGCTTATAGCGTATATACGCGTATCGTATATACGCTAACGTATATACGCTAAACGCTTAAGGGTCGATTTGGTAATACGCTTTTTCGGGCAGGTAAAAACTATCTCGGGCAGGGTGAAAAAGACGTCGTGCTCAAGATTAAGAAGGTGATCCCTATTCTCATTAATACTTTCGTAGCATTTCCCTAAGTCTGAACGGCGATTGGGGTGGGACGTGGAGTAGACACTAAAAGGAGTAGGTAGGAATCGGAAGGAGCTCTGCTGTTAGAAAGTGGGAATGCCAACTAGAAAAGACGACTGGAATTTTGCTGGCTGGTAAGTAGCGTGAGTGGGGTTTGGTGGGGCACGTTTTTGACAGGTTGGAATTCGTAGATAATATGGGTTCCAATGCGGTACCAATCTAATGTTCAAATTTGAACTGCCTGCAACTTCGAAGGCCCACTCCCGCTTCCCTATACCGTCAAATTGCATTTCGACTTCGGCGAAATGCTCAGCAGAAGATTCCGCATCTTTCTGTACACAAGCGATTTTTTTCCCTGGGCAGCCCGAAAATTTTTCTGATAGCGTATAGCGTATTAGCTAGCGTATTGCGTTTTGCGTACACATGCTAGCGTGTATACGCTATACGCTTTAGGGTTTGAGCGTATATTCCCACTAAGATTCAACGCGCCGCCTCCTGACTTCTCCGGGTGGGTGCGAAGGTGATGTGAAGCTGATGCCATGCCATGATGAGTGCTTGCTGCTTCTCGTGCCATCTGCCACCATGCCATGCACCCCCCCCCTTCCCCCTCTTCTCGCCTCAGTCACCCCTCGTTCGTATTCCCTTCCCACTCGCCTCTTCCCACCCTCATCCATCCTCCATTCCCCCCCTTCCCGCTCCCCCCTCCAGCAGCGTGGCTCAATCCCATTCCAAGCCGCAGCTGCGGTGGCTGTGGTTCCTCGTGGCAATCCCCCTCTTCCTCCTCTGCATCGCTGCTGCCGTCTGGTTCCGAGTGGGGCGAAAGGAGGGGGAAACTGAGGCTGGGAGGAAGAGATTTGTGACGGTGGGAAGGCGATTGCAGCAGGAGGCAATGGAGAGTGAGAGAAGTGAGAGGATGGAGAGGCATGATAGAATAGAGCGGTTTGAGCGGCATAATAAGATGATAGCGCTGACTGCCCAAGGGTCGGGCTCATCGCCGAAGCAGGTTCCTGGGTTTGGGTTGATGAGCGGGAGTGTACATTGACTACTGATTATGTGCCGACGATTTATACGCTTTGTTGTAAAGAAATGATGGTACAACAAGTGCAATTTTGGGCAATGGCCCTATGTTGTGCACGCTCGCAAAAATGTTTGGAATAATGGGTGTGTGTATTAGTGTACTGTCTGGGCTCTGGGCAAAGTCCAGTTGTAGACATCAGTTATTCTGTTTTTACTGTGAGTAAATGTAACTGTAGTTCTGAGTATATTCTTCATGAAGCCAGCAACAGCAAGGAGCGCCATAAGTCATTTTTAGTAAACATGGCGATCGGCAAGTATTCCATTCCATGATACATAAACTAGTACTCAGGCTCTTTCAACAACCATCTTTCAGACAGATGGACCGAAAATGTTTTAATGACTAACAACAGACTCACATTCTCCTACCTACAACCCCTGTCCCACCGTCAATAGTCTCGAATACGGAGGAGAGAAATGACAAACACATAAGCAAGCTTCGCCTCATCTGTAACATCGCACGGTTGCCATTCCCTCAACACGTCCCTTGAAACACAATGACAGTGCTCCTTCAACACATCTCTCCCGATCCTTCGATGCGTCCATCTCATGCCTGCCACACATCCGATCCGCAAGAAGTGCTTCGATTTGAAGCTGTTGACAGGTGGTCCTTCCACAGCCGTGTCAGGCATCATATCTGCCAGCGTGTCAAGTGTTCTTTTCCAGCTGGGCGAGGGCAGGTGTGAGGTAGTTGTTGGCTCGATCAGGTAAATGTGCCACCTGTTAGAGGGAGATAGAGTGTGATGGAGATGGTATGGGAGAGACACCGAGACAGGGAGGAAAGTGAGCAGTTGTAAGAGGAATAAGCTTTTTTTTTAACACAAACAACAATGCAGAAGAAACAGAAGTGCAGGAATTGAAGCAATGGAGTGAGATCAGGTGTGTTGCACTCACCAGTTCATATAGACCCGCATTGTCTGTATACTCATAGCAGATCTGCAGAGAAGAGCAAATCAGCACACATGAACAGATAAGACTAATCCATGATAGCCCAGTTTAGTGCAAACAAGCACAGAGGAATTAGAGAACAGGAGGGTTTCTATGCAGAGAAACAGAGAGTGAATATTGAATAACAACCCATATGAACAGCACAGAAGCAATCAGTGCAGAGAATGGTGAGCATGGTTACCACATTCACATGGTTACCGCATTCACATGGTTACTGCATTCACATGGTTACTGCACTCACATGGTTACTGCATTCACATGGTTATCACATTCACATGGTCATCACATTCACATGGTCACCACATTCACATGGTTACCACATTCACTCACATCGAAGCTCTTGTTACGGGCTGTCGGGTCATGAAGAGACTTCACACACACGTCTGCCACGTCAGCACAGCTGATACCCTGATGTGTGAGTGTGTGTGTGTGTGTGAGAGAGAGAGAGAGAGTGTGTGTGTGTGTTTGGGGGACGATGGGAGGGGGCAAAGAGGGGTGATGGGGTTTCACAGGTAAGGCAGGGATGGGGGTTGGAAGAAGACCATCATGTCTCACAGTTGTGCGCACAGATGCGCACAGATGCGCACAGATGCGCACAGATGCGCACACCACACCCTCCCACCCACTCCTTCCCCCACACAAACCCAAGCTCACCTGCTTGATTTGATTCTGTTTTCCTGGTCGAACACCAGAGCCTTCCTCCCCATTGCGCCTCTCGTTTCACAAACACACCACACCCCACCACCACACACCCATCCCATGCACCCACACACCCACTCCCCCACACCCAAACCCACACCCACGCTCTGCCCACATCCTCACCTGCGTGATTCTGTTTCCCTGGTCCAACACCAGCGCCTTCCTCCCAGGTGACTTTTGAGTCGACTCTTGAGTGACTTTTGAGTCGACTAAAAAATCCTCACCTGCGTGATTCTGTTCCCCTGGTCGAACACCAGCGCCTTCCTCCCTCCCGGCTCCTCCAGCAGCGGCCCTGGGCTGAGCGCACAACACAATGGTGTATCCCCCGCCAACACCCCACCTCACGCGTCCACTCGCTACACCCATGAACAATCACACCACACACACCCACCTGCGTGATTCTGTTCCCCTGGTCGAACACCAGAGCCTTCCTCCCCCCCGGCTCCTCCAGCAGCGGCCCTGGGCGCACAATGGTGTAGCCCAGCCCGCTGTTGCGCAGATGCGTCTCTGCTGCCTGCAATGCACACAAATAGAGGAGAGATAGCGGAGCAAGTCAGAGACGGAAGGCAAATAGAGGGGGTTCTGGGCGCACTATGGTGTAGCCCAGCCCGCTGTTGCGCAGATGCGTCTCTGCTGCCTGCGCGTGGCAAGGAAAATGCAGTAGGAAGGGAAAATAATCTGTGATTCCAGCACCATTCATTTGGCCCAGCTCTCCCCCCATAAGTGTGAGGCCCTGGGCGCACTATGGTGTATCCCAGCCCGCTGTTGCGCAGATACGTCTCTGCTGCCTGCACGTTTTAGGGGGGGTAAAGACAAAGAAGGGGGGGGGGTCCCTACCCAGCTCGCTCAACAGAGGCCCTGGTTGCTTGAAAGGCCTTGGGCGCGCACTGGCAGATGTTGCGCAGTGACTTTTGAGTCGACTCAAAAGCCCTATGTTGCGCAGATGGGTCTCTGCTTCCTGTATGGCATGTGGCGGGGTCAAATAGGGAGGTCAGCATGCAGATGGGTCTGACTGCTAGATCAACAGAAGCCCTGACTGCTTGAGAAGAGGCCCTGGGTTGCGCGCACTGGCTGGGGTAACCCAGCCGACTGCTCGAGCTGGCATGGATTGCAGAGAACTCACCATCTTGGCTTCTGCGACTCTCTCCCGACTCTCCTCCAGCACTCCTGCTTGTTACTAGTGCGCAAGTGATGCAGAGTGATGCAGAGTGATGCAGAGTGATGCAGAGTGATGCAGAGTGATGCAGAGTGATGCAGAGTGATGCAGAGTGATGCAGAGTGTGCATAACTGCACTGCCAGCAGCACTCGTGCCATCAGCACAGGCGGAAAGCACTCAACATCTTGGCCTTGACAACTGTCTCTCTCCTCTCCTCCGGCACTCCTGCTTGTTACTAGTGTGCAAGTGATGCACAGGGGGAAAGCACAGGGGGAAAGCACAGGGGGAAAGCACTCACCATCTTGGCCTTGACAACGGTCTCTCTCCTCTCCTCCGGCACTCCTGCTCCTGAACATGACACCAACACAAAGTCCGTCTCCTCTCCTCCCTGCGCTCCCACATCCATGCATCCACACACACACACACACACACACACACAGAAGGGATATGCAGATACAGGGACAGAGACAGAGACAACGAGTGGAGGGGAGGAAACGAATGTTGCAACGAGTTAATCTCCCAAGCAAGACACCAACACAAAGTCCGTCTGCTCTCCCTTTCCCTCACCTTCCTCCCCACCTTCCTCCCCCCCTTCCTTTTTCCCAACCCTCTGGAAAGGCCTTGACGAATTGCAGATCGAGATTGAAGCTGTTTGGACTTTTGAGGCGTCTTAAAAGTCGTATTGCAGGTCGAGATTGAAGCTGTTTGGGCTAGCGGGTGCGGCAGCTTGAGTTGACGCTAGCACATCAGAACCCACCTCCCCCCTCACCCTCTCCCCTCCCCCTTCCCCTTTAGTATCTGTCCCCCCTCCTCCACACACTCACAGGGAAGCCCTTGACGTATTGCAGAGCGAGCTTGAAGCTGTCCGGGCTAACAGACGCAGCAGCTTGAGTTGACACTAGCACATCAGAACCCAACCCCCTCAATTCACACCACCTCCCTCCCCTTCCCCGTCCCCCACGCCCTTCATTATCTTTCCTTCCCTTACACAGACACTCACAGGAAAGGCCTTGACGTATTGCAGAGCGAGCTTGAAGCTGTTTGGGTCGGCAGGGGCGGCGGCGTTGTCCCCTTCTGCGCCGGCCTTGGATGCCGCCCGGCCCGGTGGCAGGGGCGCTGCCACGGATGGTTTCTGGTGAAGTTGAAGGGAGAAAGGAGAGAAGAGAGCGGTGAAGAGGGGTAGAGTGGGGTGAAGAGAGGGAGAGTGGGGTGAAGAGAGGGAGAGCTTGGTGAAGAGTGGTAGAATCTGGCAGTTAAAGGATACCTTGTGATTTGTCAAACCCCTTATGCACTTCAACGCTTGTTAATCCCGTTCTATTCCTCAAGGCTCATCTACCCTCTCCATTGAGTGTAATTCACCATGCAAGGTTGCTTGTATCGCAGGGCAAGTGAGGGGCAAGTGAGGAGATGAGACTGTAATCAATAGATCTGCAACATCATTTCTAGCCCTCAATGTCTGAGAACCCCATTCCCCCGTCTGTGACTCACCGTGCATCGCTGCTCAACTTTTGAGTCGACTCAACTTTTGACTTTTGAGTCGACTCAACTTTTGACTTTTGAGTCGACTCAAAAGTCAATGTCTGAGAACCCCATTCCCCTGTCTGTGACTCGCCGTGCGTCGCTGCTCGTATCGCAGAGCGAGGGAAGAGATGAGGGTGGGACCAAGCGGTTTGATACCCCATTCCTGATTTGTTAACCGCGTTTCACGTCCCAAGGTCTGTAATCCCCATTCTACTGAATGTAACTCACTGCGCGACGCCACTCGTAGCGCAGAGCGAGGGAGGAGATGAGAGCGGGATCAAGCAGTTTGGTTACTCCATTCTACCCCCCAAGAAATGTTAGCACCGTTCCACAACATCATGCAGCTTACCGCGCGACGCTGCTCGTATCGCAGAGCGAGGGAAGAGATGAGAGTGGGATCAAGCGGCGGGTCAGACGGGGATGATGCGCGGAAGGCAGAGAAGGGGACGCGGATCTGAGGAAAAACAGGGAGGGGGGGAGATGGGGGGAAGGTGGGGGAGGGGGGTGCGCGGGGGTGTGGGAGGGTGGAGCGGGGTTAGAGGGTGGGAAGGCGTGGGTTGGACGGGGATGATGGGCGGAAGGGGGAGCAGGCGATGATGGGCGGAAGGGGGAGCAGGGGATGATGGGCGGAAGGGGGAGCAAGGGATGATGGGCGGAAGGGGGAGGAGGAAATGCGAATCTGGAGAAAGAGCGAATGGGGAGGAGGAGGCCCCGAAAATGGAGGGGACAGGAGGTGAAGGGTGGGTTTGATAAAAACGGGGGAGAATGGGGAAGAAGAGCGGAAAGGGAAGTTAGAAGTCAGAAGGGGAGGGAGGGGAGGGAGGGTGTGTGAGAAAGGGAAGCGACGGGGACTAGTGGTGGTTGTTGAGTCGACTCAAAAGGACTAGTGTTGATTGTGAAAATGAGGCGAGAACTGGACATGAGATGCTCTACGTGCCAGCCAAGAGCAGGGAATGCAAATCTACTTTTTCCACCTTCATCTCTCACACATTCTGCTCTCCCCTCTCCGTGTCTTCACAACAGCCACACACTCATGCTCCTCCTCCCTCCTCCTCCACCTCTTGAGACTCAACTCAAACGTCACATCCTCCTCTCTCACTCACCGTGTTCTGCCCTTTCCTTGTCTTAACAACAGCCACATACTCATACTCCTCCTCCTCCACCTCCTCCTCTTCTTCCACCAAAATCTCCCCATCCTCCCCCATTCTCTCCACGCGCGTCCCATCCCTCGCCACACGCAGCACCAGCGAGTATGGCTTGCCGTCCGACACGAACCGGAACACCAGACCCTCGAAGCTGAGGGGACAGGGAAGGGGAGGGAGTTGGGGAGTTGGGTCAAGTAGGGGCAGAGCGGGAATATCAGCCCACCCACAGCACCAGCGAGAAAGGCTTGCCGTCCGACACGAACCGGAACACCAGACCCTCGAGGCTGAGAGGATGGGAGAACGAAGGGGGAGAGAGCAGAGGAGTTGGGATGGGTGGGGATAGACGGGAAGGCCAGCCCACCCGCAGCACCAGCGAGTAGGGCTTGCCGTCCGATACGAATCGGAACACCAGACCCTCGAAGCTGAGGGGACAAGGGAAGTAGATGAGGAATTGGGGTGAGTCGGGACAGACGGACAAGCGAGCGAATAGAGGAGTTGGGATGAGTGATGACCCAGGACGAGGTCAGCCCTCCCGGGGCACAAGCGGGTAGGGCTTGCCGTCCGACACCACACGAACAGGAAGCGAGGAGGGGATGGGGGGAAAAGGGGGGAGGAGGGGAGGGAGGGAGGAGGGGAGGGGCAGAGGTGGGAAGGGGGAAGGACATAGGGGGATGGCGGAAGGGGAAACGGAATCACTTAGAAACCAACCCGACCATCACTCACCGTCCAAACGACAATCCCTCTGGAAGCGCGATCCGTCTCTTCGCCTCCACATACCCCCCGCGCGTGAACACGTATCCGGAAAACACGCCTCTCCCGTCCTCCGTGATACTAAACTCCGCGTCCATCCCCGCGCCGTACCGCAGGTCTATATCGTCCTTAATAGTCCGCCCCTCTCCTAACTCCCACCCTTCCTGGAATCGCTCTTTGCTGAGTCTAAGAACCAGGGCTTTGCTCTTGCTGCTGCGGCCGGCGCGGCGCTGCGCTAAGTGGTGATTATAGTCTAGGAACGCCTTGGAGAGATTAACTACGCCCATGTGGTCGACCCGTTGGAGGTCAGCGGCCATTGCGGAGCGAGCCGAGGCGCAGAAGACGACCTTATTGCACCCCTCCACCGCCTTTTGTAGTGCCGCCTCGTCAGCCAAATCAGCAACTGCCACCTGGCACGCACGTGGCAGCTGCTCGAGGGTCTCCGGATCCGCGCTTCTTACAAGGGCTTTAACAGTGTACCCACGCAAGAGCAACTTTCTTACAAGCACTTTCCCGACGCGGCCCGTCGCTCCCGCTACAAGCACAGTCGTGAACTGAGCGCTAGGGACACCAAAATCGGCGTCCAAACCGCCTCGCACCAGCTCGGTATAATCCTCCGCATCCACCGGCGCCGGACGCGCTATCTGGCCCAGCTGGATCAATCTCCGCCACACATCGTCGAGAAACTGCCGGGATCGACGGCCGAGATCCACAGGGTTCACGTCTTCAAGCGACAGCTGCTGCTGCTGCTGCTGCTGCGAAGCTTCGCCCAATTGCTCCTGCTGCTGCTGCTGCTTCACGGCCTGAAGTTGCTGCGCAGTTTCGTCGGCAGCGACGGGGTCAGCCAGTGGAACGTCGGCCTTGATTGGGCGGCTGCCCGACGGTGCTGCTGCGGAATCTGCGAATTCGGGATTCGCAGAATTCGAAGTTAAATTAGAACTCTCGTCATTGCCTCCGGCTGCTCGTGTGCGCACTACGTGGAAACGCTGCGAATGGAATAACGGATGCCTCTTGTCGAGAGAACTGGCGCGCCTAGTGCACACGGGAGACGAAATGAGCGGAGACTTGCGGAGGAAGGGGACTGGAAAACCGCTGCGTTGCGCAGATGCGGAATGCGCGGCAGCAGTTACACCCCCCGCGGTGCTCAGGCGCACGGGAACGGCGGGCGACGCGACGATAGCCATGACAAGTGCGGCCCAGCAATGAACCACCAAATTAGGCGAACACGAATGACTCAAAAGGCCTGAATAAAAATATGTTCAACCACCAGTCGCTCACTTCTCTCGTTCTCCTTGGAAGCCAGGCTTGGAGAATGTCAGAATGCCACATGGGAGGCAGAGTTTGGAGCTGGGGAATTTGCTCTGGCAGGCATTGAGATTTCCTCGGTTTGGCGTTGGGTTTGGCTCGGTTCTACCTTGGGATTGGTTCGTTCAGGCTGGGACGCGTCGAAGGGTGACGTGGAATTGCGCGCCAGGCTGGGCTCCCAAAAGTGTGGTCGCAAGGCAGCCATTGGGACCTTCGGTGGGTCCAGATTGGATCGCATTGACGTGGAATCGAAGGCTTCCACGACACCTGGGCCACGATCGACAATGCTACGTGGTCAGAGCAGATGCCAGAAATTTCGCACGACGATGTAGGTTCACTTTACGAAGTTTACCTAACTGCCAGCAGTAAGTACACCGAACAGAGGCAAGAGTGTTAATGCATCTAATTAAACCAGAATAGCCTACGAGAATGCTAACGTAGCTGGAAGCCCCATTATTGTAAAGTCATCATAGAATGACAACTTATGCCTCACTAAGCATTGCACAGCATTATCTCATAAGATCTGGTTCACCAGTACAAAAGCATAAACAAAAGCCTACTAAAAGCAACTTTCTAAGCATAAACATAAGCCTACAAAAAGCAACTTTCTGGTTCACCAGTACCAGCCATTTGGAACTGTTGCAGACCTAACTAACAAACCTACAACAATCACTCGAAATTACACTGCAGAACAGGCTTTCAAACACCCCTATTTCACAAGCTTAGTGATGAAGACATCCCAATTCCTGCCCCACAGTTGATTCTTGCAACTGGAACCCACCACACCATGCCGAGCCATTTTGCAGCCAGGCATGAAGCTGCTCCAAGCGATTCCTGCTCCTGACCAAGAATGGTGCAGCCACCAACTTTGGAAGGGCACAAATAACGAACGATCCGCTTAGACACTCAAAAGTTTCAGCTGTCCAGCCGGCACAAGCATTACCCGTTTCATCCAGAGAAAACGATGGAGGTCGAGATTGCAGAGTTCGGTAAATTCACTGAGGGTTAGAGTATGACACATCCACACTTGGCGGACTCGGGCTGCCAGCAAAAAAAAAAAAAAAAAAAAAAAAAAAAAAACCAGACAAGATGAAAATACCAAATCGGTCAAGGCAGATGTATGGTCTGAAACAAAAGACGAACGGAAAGAACAAGATAGAGAGGACGTGATAACGTTAATGACAAATGAAGGGGAAAAAAAAAGAACCATAATAAACCTCGTTCGGAAAATAGAGTCTGACAACTTATGTAGGTTGAACGAGCTGGATTCGACGAAACTTATAACTGTTTCGTATCAACTCATGGGAGTCTGATATCTATGTCCGAATTGCGTCACTAGAGTAGCACATAGGGAACTTTTCGCAGAATGTTAGTTGATTAAAGCTTACCTCAGGAGGAGTATCTTTGTTGACCTTCGTCTTGTGGGGCTCCGGGAATGCTGGAACCCCCCCACCCGAGCTGACGTCTCTAAATTGCGCAGTGAACCCGCCACCGCCCTTCTTGCCACCACCCCCTGTTGGCGGCATCCCGCCCTCCGACTGCACCGGGAAATGTGAGAACAAGGGGGAAAGGATATTAGGGAGGATATGGGAGGATGGGGAGGAGGAAATACGCGAGGGATTGGTACGAATGGTGGAGGGAGAGTTGAAATAAAGGACTCGAAGGCGAGACTTGTGTGGCACTTCAAAGATATCATGCGGAGATGGAAGCGCGCGAAGGAGAGATGGTTCCCAAGGGAAGAGCTTGGGGTCGAGAGTAAAGTGGTACAAGTTGAGGTACGAAAGGTTCAGATCGTAAAAACAAAGGGAAAAAGAACTGGATAATGATGAAGACAACAACACCACATGACAGGGAGAACAGACTTCTGGCGAACTTGGAAGGACCAGCTGTCCAGCTAACATGAGGGTATGGTAACTGTGGTTGTTGAACAGGTTTTAGTTTGAATCAAACGTACCGCCATGGCCTGGATGGGTCTTCAAAGTCAAAGCGAAAGGGAAGGTGTACGTAACCCTAAAAAACGTAGAAACACTTCTATACTACTTCGCAGCAGCCCCTCGAAATGACGTAAACTACAACCTTCTGCCACCGAACGTGATGAGCATCGGCAGATAAGATCACTGCACCCAATTGATATGAGAAGTTGGAGCAAAAGGTTCCACCAGAGCGTATCCTAATGGTTCCTCGAGCAGAGCTGAAACAGGAAAACACGCAAATGCATGATTCAGATGCGGAAGAGGTAGTCGTTGGAGCGTGACTGCGGAAGGTTGGTGAAGGCGGAGAAGTGGAGGGAGTATGGGGGGAAAATGGGGGGAGAAGTGTGGGGAGAATACGGGAAACAGAAGAGGAAGCCCCTGGGTGTATTCCCCCGAACAAGCACAACGAATCTTTCCGCCCGCCCTGCCTGCCGCTGCATCCTGTCAAACCCGCGGAACCGCCATCAGGCACATGCAGAACGGCGGAGAACGCAGGCATGGGGGTCACCCGGAGGAGAGGTGATGATGGGGGGTTGCGGAAGGCCCAGAGCGTGTTGCGGTTGGTGAGGTGAACGGACTTCTGGAGAAAGAGTACACTACTTTTCCACGTGTCGCGCGGTTACTGCATGGATGTTGCCAGGCTTTCCCGCTCTCTGCGACGTGCGTGACTACGACTTGGAAGTGCTGCTACGATTCGCTCCCCACCTCCACTTCACTTGCAGCCTCTGTGCTCAAGTGATTCGTGAGTGTGCAGGCCGTTTTAGTAATAGTGATAATGATAAAACACATGGATGGCCACTTATGTTACATGTCAATCAATAAAACAAAAACATTTCTCTTACCCAACCAGGCACAAGCAAACAACCTTCTAAAAAACGGCACTCTGGGGACCGTCCGTTCCACGTGGGGTGTTCGCCTCACTCTTCACCGCTTTCTTCCCTAAAAACCCCCCCATCACAGACTTCCTCCACCCAGTCTTGCTACCAGACGTTCCACGCCTACCCTTCCCTTCTCCCTCCGGTCTCTTCATGCGCAACGGAGCAGGGACCCCCATAGACGCCCTGAGCGAGGGAGGCGGAGTCCCGGCCGCTGAAGCAGGACCGTTGATCGGCGTTGCAACCGCAGAGGACGGCCCTGATTGACCGGCACTCATGAAATGCCTTATAGCACGAAGCTGCCCAGGATGGAACTCCGCACTCTTGGCAAATATCCCACTGTCTTCCCCTGCTGCAGTTGACAGGAGCCCAGAGGTGGGAATGGACGGCATACTCGCACGATTGCTGGCTGTATTGTAAGACGAGCTCCTTCCTGGAAACATCCTTGCAGCGGACGGACCAGCATCACTGCCAGCTGCACCAGCAGCACCACCAGCACCAGCAGCACCACCAGCACCCGCAACAGCAGCAGCAGCTGCTGCAGCTGCAACAATCTCCCCCTCTTGGCTCCTCCCTACCAGAGACGCCTCCCTCCACTTCCTCAGAGTGTCCGCTGCTTCCTCTTCAACCCGCTTCTTCCGGATCCGAGCCTCCTCCCTCCACTTCCGAACCTCGCCTTCCAGAGCATCCAAGGTTCGGCGAAGTGCCCTAACCTGCAGCCGAAGCTCCCCTTCCGCATCCTTAGCTGTCTTCAACTCTCCCTCAACCGCAGCCAGCTTAAAAGACATCTCAGCCTCCATCTTCCCCTTCTCCACCACCACTCTATCCTTCTCCGCTTCTGCAGCAGCAGCAGCCACTGCTGCCGCTGCCGCAGCCTCGGCCGCAGCAGCGGCAGCGGCAGCATCCTTGGCTCTCCGTTTCTCCTCGCCCTCCTTCCATTTGCGTTCCAAGCTTCCTTGATTCACCCTAGCTCGCCACAGACTAGCCGCAAGCCGCACTGACCCCCCAGTCTTGGCCTCTTCAGCTGCTGACCTCGCTGCTGCTTCTGACACTCTCAACCCCTCCATCTCCATCCGCACCGTTTCCAACTCCCCCTCCGCTGTGCCCGCACGTTCCCGAGCCTCAGCAGCTTCG